GTTGTTGGGTCAAAGACTGTGTTCATTTTAAACGTCAAAAGCTCTTGCCAGATACGCCTTCCAAAGGGGTTCTGTTATTTCACTCCCACAATGTATGTTTAGCACTCACCCAGCGATGGCTACCAGCCTCCTGTGCACTGTGCATTGCACTGGGTAAGAGTCTGGAGGACACTAAGGGCCTCGGACATAACCCTGAGGAACCTGAGCCTTGCAGCCAGTGTGGGTGTCTGTGCTTTTGTGGGGTTGACCTGTCACCTCATTGCTGTCGATTTCTGCTTTGGTTAGGTGTCTGCCTGCATCCCGGTGCTCAGGCTGGCCAGGCGGCGTAAGAAGATCCTGTTTTACTGTCACTTCCCAGATCTGCTGCTCACCAAGAGAGATTCTTTCCTTAAACAGCTGTACCGGGCTCCGATTGACTGGGTAGAGGAATACACCACAGGCATGGCCGACTGCATTATGGTCAACAGCCGGTTCACAGCTAATGTTTTTAAGGACACGTTCAAGACTTTGTCTCACATAGACCCCGACGTCCTCTACCCGTCTCTGAATTTCACCAGCTTTGACTCAGCTGCTCTGGAAGACCTTGATGACCTAGTCCCCAAAGGAAAAAAGTTCCTGTTCCTTTCCATCAACAGATACGAAAGGAAAAAAAATCTGACTTTGGCGCTGGAAGCCCTGGTAGAGCTGCGTGGAAGATTGACATCCCAAGCCTGGGCCGGGGTCCATCTGATCGTGGCAGGTGGCTATGATGAGCGAGTCCAGGAGAACGTGGAACACTATCAGGAGCTGAAGGATGTGGTCCAGCAGTCTGACCTTGGCCAGCACGTGACCTTCCTGCGGTCTTTCTCAGATAAGCAGAAAACCTCGCTCCTCCATGGCTGCACGTGTGTGCTTTACACACCAAGCAACGAGCACTTTGGCATCGTCCCTCTGGAGGCCATGTACATGCAGTGCCCAGTCATTGCTGTCAATTCAGGTGGGCCCCTGGAATCCATCCTGCACGGCGTCACGGGGTTTCTGTGTGAGCCTGACCCGGTGTGCTTCTCAGAAGCCATGGAAAAGTTCATCCACAAGCCCAGCTTGAAAGCCACGATGGGACTGGCTGGGAGAGCCAGGGTGAAGGAGAAGTTTTCCTCTGAAACGTTCACAGAACGGCTTTACCAGTATGTCACCAAAGCACCTGCGTGATCAGATTCTTTTTAAGCTCTTTATGCTACATTCATTGATTATAGACCTGAGATCAAAAATAAACCTAGAATCAGTTGAAGAGATGGAAAAAAAAAACTTGAGTAACCTTGTAATCATTCCTACTCTGACCAGTGTTAAGACACAAGTGGACAGTGGCATGCTGGCAGGGTACATTTCCTCTGCATCACTGTCAACCTGCCTGTAAATTTTGAATCATACTGTGCCTTAATTGGTTTTGGTAGTTGTGTGTCATTATCAAAGTTGATTAATTTGACATCAGCGTAATGAGGACAGGGTTACTGTAGCTCCCAGAAATCTCCTCTACTGGGATTTTTTTTTTTTTAACTTATTGTAGCTTGGGTGAAAGATTACAGAGCATATTAATTTCCCATTCAGCAATTTATACACATTGTGTGTGTGTGTGTGTGTGTGTGTATGAGAGAGAGAGACACTGCTTGCAAGCTCCTCAATGTAACAGCACTCTTCCCACTTCCTCCCCAGGCTCCTTGTCTCCGTTTGTCCTTCTTTCTTGTACCTTCCTGCCTCCTGAGCTTTGTTTTTGAGCAAATGCTGCCCTTTTGATCTCATTTAGTTGATTGTACTGAGTACATTCCTCCCTGGTGTTACTCACTTTATAGGCCTGTCATTTGTTTGGCTGAAAAGTATTCTCCAGGGTGGGCCCAGTGCCATGCATGAGAAGTGTCTTAAAGGCCACAGTCTGGGGAGTTCTCCCAGTCTCTTTAAGACCAGTGAATCTGGTCTGATTGATTAATTGATTGATTGTGATTTGGGTGAGAGTTTACAGAGCAAATTCACCTTCCATATAGCAGCTCACATATACTTTGTCTCATGACATTGACCACAATTTACCACAATGCAACAGCTCCCCTCCCACTTCTTCACCATAGTTACTTCTTCCCTGTGTCCTTTCCTCTGTGCACTCCTGCCCCCTGAGCTATGTCCCTGTGCATACACAGCCCTTCTGTTCTCACATGATTGATCTTTCCAAGCAGTGTATCTACGTAGTGTAAATGTTCACCTTATATGCCTGTCTTTTGTTTGGCTGGAAGCCACAGGAGTGGGTTCATTTCCAGACGCGAAGGGCAGCTAGAGGCCATAATCTGAGTGGTTCCATCAGGCTATATCAGACCAGCAAACCTGGTCCTTTTTTTTTTTTTTTCCAAATGATTTTGAGTTCTGTTCCACTTTGTTCTCCCACTCTATCCAGGATCTCCTACAGAGATCCCCCTGAGTGGTTGACTGGTAGCTGGGCACCATCTAGTTCTTCTGGTCTCATAGTCTATAGGCTGAGGATCATCACATGGTGCACCAGTCGCTTGGACTGATTGTTTCCATGAATCTTTGGTTTTCTTACTTCTTCTTTGCTCTGGACAAGGAGAGACCCATCGTTGCATCTAGATGGCTGCTTGCAAGCTTTTAAGATCCCAGTCACTACTCACCAAAGTAGGAGGTAGAACAGTGTTTTGTGTAGTGTGTTATGCCAGTTGAACTTGATGTCCCCTGCAACTATGGTCCCGAGCCCACAAGTTCAACTACTCACTCCTCTGGGTAGCTGGCTGTAACCAAGAAGTGACTACAAACTTGTCCCTTGTCAGCTCTGCTATACAAAATCTGGTCTTTTTTATGATTTTACATTTTGTTCCTCAGTTTTTTCTTTTCCCTCTCTGTCTAGGCTCTGATCAGAGTGGTCAGCAGTGGTAGCCGGGCAGCACCGTCTAAATTCTTCTGGTCTCACGGTTGTAGAGGCTGTGGTTCATGTGGTCCGTTAATCCTTTGCGCTAATAGTTTCCTTGTGTTTTTGATTTTCTTCCTTCTCTGCTGCAGACAAGGAGAGACCCGTAGTTGCATCTCAGATGGCCACTCTCAAGCTTTTAAGACCCCAGTTGCTACTCACCATAGTAGGATATAGAGCAGTCTTTGTGGACTGTGTATGTAGTTGACCTAGATGTGTTGGGAAATTTTTGTCAGTCGTGCTTTTGGCTGGATCCATAGCAAGAGTGTTCTGTATTTATTTTCAAGGTGATGTATTTTTGCACGATAAGATGACAATAAAAGGTGTGTATCTTACATAGCAGGAGACAATAAAATTTTAGATTTTGGCCTACATGATCGGTTTTGGTATTTTTAGGAATGTGGATGTGACGGCCAAGCCTGAAATCGGCACATGAGCGCAAACATTGGAATGAAGAGGGAGCGCTGGCAAGCGTGCCGTGCATCTTGTTCAGGGCTTACTGCTTACTGTCATCTGAGTCATGAGCTTTGTTAATATTTGTGTCTTACTAAGTTCCCTGCTGAGTGCAGCACACAAATGCTTTTTGTCCTTCAAGGCCTAGCTCATCGGCCACTGCTGTGAGCTGTCCCTGACCCTCTGCCTAGCTCCCGACCTGGGAGATATCTTCCCTTCATCTCATCCAGCCTCTTCATGGCACTGCCGAGTCTTAGGGTTCATTGTTTACCTGTTGGTCTCAGCCGGCAGCCCAGGCTCCTTGTTGGCAGACACTGCCCTACTCAAGTATCTCCCTAGCAACTAGCCTGACACATGGTGAGTGGAAAATGAATGTTTGTTGGAAAACAATAGTAAACGTACAGTAGTTTTCAACATGCCGTTGAAGCTAACCTCGTATTTTAAAAGCTAGCCAAGACCCTTTGCTCCGTGTGAATTCGGAGCACAGACGGGAGCTCCTGACGGGCAAGTGGTTTATCTCCACTTGTGCTCAGAGGGTTCATCATATTGTCCTGTCCTCATAGGGTTGTTATGAGGATGGGCACTAACGTGGAGCACATTAATCAGTACCTAACATATACCATGGGAGCTCTGATAGCGTAGTGCCTAAGGCACTTCACTGCTAACCAGAAGCTGGCAGTTCAAATCCTCCAGCCACTCTGTGGAAGGAAGATGGGACAATCTACTTACGTAGTGATACTGCCTTGGAAACCCAAGGAGGGGTTGCTATCAGTCGGGTCCGACTCGACGGCACATAACAACGTATACCACGATTGTCCAGTCCCATTGTGTGTGGGTCACCAGGAGTCAGGCTGCTTGCTGGCAGCCAACAACAGTGGACTGTGGAGTCTGGAGGTGCAGAAGGTCAGCATGCTTAGCTGGAAATCTGGAGGGTGGAGGCTCGTCATGCAGGGGTGCCTCGGAAGATAGGCCTGGTGATCTGCTTCAGAACAGTCAGCCCAGAAGAGCACGGAGCACGGTTCTGTGCTGCACGTGGGGTCGTGAGTCAGAATGGACAGCAACAGGTTATCTTTTTTAAGCTGTTTGTTAAACAATCACCCTTTTCCATGTGGGTCTATGCTCTCCTACCATGCCGTTCTTTGAGGTTTGTCCTTTTCAGTGGCTAACATTTCAGATTGTAATTTACGCTGTTAGACTGAATCATGGGAGGATTGTAATGAAATGACTGTGCCAAAAAAGTAGTCCCATAAAATGACTGTCACATCGACTTCTGTGGGTGAAAAGTATCATTGAGTTCCATTCTCTTAGGCCTTGTGGCAGCATTATCAACCAGTAAAGGACGTCATCCCCGTCTTGTGGCTTGTGCACGTTTCTCTGGGACTACAGTCTTTTCCAGAATGGCCTGGTGGCTCTAACTCTGGATTCAGGACAGACAGCTCAGGTGATATCCACCCACTCCAAGCACTGAAACTGTTTATTTGACCATTTTTGTGACCCTTCTGAAATAGGCTGCACTTGTTCATGGGCTGTATATTTAACCCATCATGGTCCTGAGCCCTAGGTGACAGGTGACGACAAGACTTTATAGGCTCTGGGGGCTGCTGAGCCCTGCTTGCCATGAGCTTCAGCAGTAATGCCCAGCTGCTGGGCCTAGAATGGGCTTTTGTTCATTTTGTTCACAGCTCTGAAACTAGGCTGAAGTTAGGGGACTTAGGAACATGGGGCATCGAGATGAATTGTCCAGGACTTTATTAATAGTAATTTTTCCAGCATGTATCCTGTGCCAAGCATTATGAGATAACATGGTAGACAACTCATTCAATCGTGAGAAGAGTTCAGTGAAGTATAGATAAAGTTGCCTTTTGATAAATAAGACTAGTGAAGCAGCTTGGATGCGACACAGCCTTGAGGGAGGGGTGGGCAGGGTCTCAAGTCTGATGAGAGTCAGGGCCCTTATCCATTGTTCCCACTAACAATGCCTTTGCCCTCACTGAGCTCCCCCGGTGTGTCTTCAGTGAGCCCTTTGGGGCACTGCAGTGGTACCAGCGCGACAGGGGCCAGGTTCTGGAAAGGCCAGGTTCTGGAAAGGCTTTGCGCTTGTCTCCTTTTCATCTTCAGGGCAGTCTTGTGAGGTGGGTTGATTATGCCCACTTCACACAGGAAGCAAGAACCTCACAGAGGCGAACTTGCCCAGGGCACACAGTCAGAAAGTGACTGAATCAGGAGTCAGGCCATGGTGGCCTGATCTGTCCAGCACCCCTAGGCCTTACCGAAGTTCTCAGCCTGCTCCTCTTGGGTGAGCGTAAATACCACATGTCCTTCCACACTTGATGAAATTCAGGGTAAGTGGGTGCTCTTCGGTCACCTCATTGTCCCCTTTGACCCTAAGAATGATGCTGATGTCCCCTCCACCTCCCCGTCCCCCTGTGAGGATTGCTGTGCTGAGGCCTGTCCGCATTACAGCTGAGAGCCAAGACATAGTGGAGCTCGGTGTGTTGCAAGTCTGCCTCTTCTTCTTTCCAGGCTTGTTTACTTGCAAGAAGAAATTTAAGTTAGTTTAACTCAAGACAGAAGAGTTGAATGTTTCAGGGAATCCAGGCCAGAAAGTACAGTCAGGTCTAAGGACGCGGGGACTGGGAATGAAAGCTTGTCCTTGCCCTTAGGCCACCCGCCTGCCTGCCGGCTTGCTCTCTCCGTCTCCATCGTCTCCATCTCACTGGCTCGCTCGGGTTCTCCCTCTCCTCCTCCCTCCCTCCCTCCCTCCTGCTGTTCTCCTGGGTCTTTGCTTGCTCAC